CTGGGATTGTGGCTCAGCGGTAGAGTGCTCACCGCCCACGTGCGAGACCCTGGGTTCAATCCTCAGCACCACATAAAAATAAATAAGTGAAATAAAGGTATTATATCCAACTATAATTAAAGGGTAAATATTTTAAAAATAAATAAAAAGATACATTTAAAAAATAGGTACTATTTAAAAAAATTTTTTTCATCACTTTCCTAAGGTCAGTTCTGCTTTTTTTCCAAAAAAGAATTCCATGATTGGAATTTGTATTTAATTTGATCCTACCTCTGAGAGAGAAGGGGCGGGGTAGGGGTGTGTGKGTGTGTGTGTGTGTGTGTGTATGTGTGTATGTGTTTAGGGGCACATGGTTTGGATCAGGCTTGGGGAGGAGTGAGGGGCAGGATGAGATGGGTAGCAATGGGGATAGAATAATTAAGATTTATAAGGGTATATGGTTAGGATATACAGTAAGGGTTAGGATTATGGATTAGGGTAAAGGTTTATGGTGAGGTTATGTGTGAGGGGTTACGGTATGAAGTATGAGGTATAGTGTGAAGGTTAGGGTTATATTTTAGGGTTTAGGGTCTTCAGAGTTTGTAGCAGGTGGGAATCACACCCCACCCCGTTACCCTGCAGTGCCACCTTGTGGAAAGAGGAAAGGCTTTGGGAGGAATATCTAGGTATGAGTGAAATCTGCTGAATATCATGTCCTTGATTTGTTCAGGGCACCTGACTTTCACACTGACAGTTTTTTTTTTTTTTTTTTCAGGATTTTTCTTTCTCTGATGTGGACTAAGTAATCAAAGGGGTAAAATATTGACTAGTTTTTTGTGTATGAAAARGCAGACAAGCCTCTATGTTCCATAATTCAAAAAACATAATATGAAAAGGTATTTTGTATATAATTAGGGGAGTTGATTGAGTGCACACTATGTGCTGGCATTAATGATACAGTGGTGGATTAACTAGAATTTCTGATCTTGGGGAGATTATGCTCTAGTGGCAGGAGACAGGGATAAGCAGATGAGTATATGGTGGTGAGTATGGAGGCTAAAAGGACTGAGAGGTGGAACACTGCCATTTTAGATGGATTGTTAGGGAACACTTGCTTGACCAGGTGTTGAAGGAAGAGGTAATCTAGCCATGTGAGCAGCTATCCAACAGAACAGCCGGTGCACAGGCCCTGAAGTGGGCATTGGCTTGCTCTGTTGGAGGAGGTGCGAAAAGGTTAGGTGGCTGGAAATGAAAAGTGGCAACTGGAGGTGTCCAAGAAGTGTGAATGTATGTGTTGCAGGTCATGTGGGCCTTGTAGACAGCACTTAGGACTTGGGAATTTTCTCAGACGAGAGTAAACCACAGGAAGGTTTCCAAGGAAGTGATGTATCTAAAGGGCAAGCATCAAAACAGAAACTCTTGCACACATGCTGTCTGWGAGGTGGTAGAGGCTTGAGCTAGGGTGGCAGCAGTGGGTACATGTGGCAGATTCTGGGTATGTTTTGAAGTTAGGGTTGACAATAGGCTCCTGTCCTTCATTTCTGAGAATCTCTGTGTGTCTAGTGTTCTGCTCAGGTGCCAAGTTAGAGAACAGAAGGCCTGTCCTCTGTAGACTTAGGATCTAGTTCTGAGTTTTTCAAGCTTTTTTTTTCCAATTAAAAAAAAAAAAAACGGGGGTAGGGGGGAATACACAGGATGAGACACACTTAGGTGATTTCAACATGAGGTAATAGGTCACAACTCACTCTTGGGAGTCTCAAAACACTGAGTAGAGGATGAGGTCAAGAAAAGTGCTGGTTATGTAATATAATAGTGCTGTGCCACAGAGGAGGCTCCTTCCCAGGTTGGGTCAGGTGGGTGGACAGTGGTGGTCGTGAACAGGTGTGTTCATGTGATGTGGGCAGAGGAATGGTTTCCAAAAAGAGTAAAGAGCACCCYGTCAGCATGCTGTGTTCCTTACAACGTGGTCGCCCAGCTCTGCTTTCCTGCTGTAGCTAACCAAATCTCTATTTATAACATATTAATCTTTTAGGAAGGATAACATATTAACTTCTTTTTTCCTTTAATTGTTTTCCTCAGTTCCCTAATCCTATTGTGTTTCTTCTCTGTTCTGTTCATATTATTAAAGAAAAAGTTACATTTATCCATTAAATTGTGACATGCCATCAATTGTGAAATACATTGTGATTTCAAAGATGTTTAAATATGAACAAAGGCTTCTAGAATTTGCACAGTACAGACATTTGTATTGAAGATTCTTTAGTTCATTAAGGTAGAGAGCCCCAGCACACAGAAAACGTATTTAAGGAGGATGGATAATGCAGGTTTATTGAGTAGACTGGGTACATCATGCTCTGCTAGTGTATACGAATTTCTCAGGCATGGTGGGGTTCTGACTTTTGTGTCATTCATGAAATTAGCTAGATTTTAGTGTGCGTATCATGTGTCAGGTACTGACTAAGCAACAGGAAACTAAAGATGAGACAGCAAATTGCCAGGAAGGCATGGTCTAGAGAGGGAAGGGAGACATGGTAATGCTCACTGAAGTGAAGAATGATTGGGAAGAGTTACAGATCACAGAGTAAGGAGCTTGTGGCTTCCCTGGAGAGAAGAGGAGATACATGAAGTTTTGCAGTTGGTTGCTGTGAGCTGAGTTTTGAAGAGTGATTAGGAGTTTACAGCAAAAGGGAAATGGGTAGAGGGACCATGACCAGTGAAACCTGACTCACTCCTTTGGAGCTAAGAGTGAAGTTCCATGTTGAGAGGAGTAAGACCTGGAAGGCTAGGACTCTGCAGTTTGTCCCTTCCTCTGGGTTTTCTCAGAGTGGATATCTTGAGCCCTATGAGATTCTCTGAGGGGAAGTTAGAGATTCACACAAATATCACATTAGACTCAAGAAGAAAAAAAACCTGTTTCCTGTTTATATACCATTTCCTGTTTATATACCAAATGTTTGGGAACAGAAGACCTGAATGTTTTAAGCAAGTGAATAACATTGCTGATTTTTACATTTAGAAAATGACCCTTTGATGCAGCCACATTAATGTTTATAGCAGCTCAGTTCACAGTAGCTAAGCTATGCAAGCAACCTAGGCACACTTCAACAGATGAATGAATGAAGAAAATGTGGCACATATACACAATGGAATATTACTCAGCTAAAAGAAGAACAAAATTATTGCATTTGCTGGAAAAATGGATGGAACTGGAGACTAACGTGCTAAGTGAAATAAGCCAATCTCCACAAACCAAAGGCCAAAATGTTCTCTCTGATATGTGGATGTGGACTCACAATAGGCATGGAGCATCTGGGAACAAGGAGTGAAGGTTCACTGAATTGGACCGGGGAATGAAGGGAAGGGAGTGGGGAGGGGAATAGAATAGATAGTAAAATGAATTGGACATAACCTTCCTATGTCCATATACAAATACACGACCATTGTAACACCACAACATGTACAACCACAAGAATGGGTAGTTATACTCCATGGTTGTATGATATATCAAAAAACATTATACTGTCATGTATAACTAAAATGAACAATTAATAAAAACCAAAGTAAAAAAAAAATGGCCCTTTGGTGATGGAGGATGGGCTGGGGTCCCAGAAACCGGTGTCAAGGAAACCAGCTTAGAACTGTTACATAAAATCCCACCATTGATACAAACATGTTTAATCTAAAATGCTCCAAAACATTGGAGCATTTCTAAGAAAAAAAATTTAACAATGAACTGAAATTACATTTAGTTGACATATATTTTAAGGGAGGAGAGTTTTGGGACACCTGATCTTTGGTCAAAGAATAAATACAAATACTCTGCAATACTTTCTGATTTTCTTTTAAAGAAAATTTTGGTTTAAATTGAACATCTAGGATATTGTTTTTAAAAAAATCCCTTCCAATATGATATCTTGAGGTCTTAGATCAAAGTAGTAGAATTTTGAGATTTTTATAAAATTGACCTGGCAATTTTTATTTTTTAATTTTTTAAAATGCATTGTAATTTATTTTTATGTTTGAGACCATTTATTTTTCCTTTACTGTATTAATTTATATCTTTGGAAAGTTTTTTAATGGATTGGATTTTTAGTCTTTTTATCAATTTTTAGGAGCTCTTTATTTATTGAGATTAGCCACTTATTTGTAATATGAGCCACTTATTTACAATATTTTCTTCCCTAGTTTATCTCTTTATCAGACTCTTATATTTAATATATTTGAATATATCAATCTTTATCTGTGGTATTGGACTTTAAATTATAGTAAAAAGGGTTTCTTTTCCCCCCCTATATTAGGGATTAAACCCAGGGGCACTTACTCTACCACTGAACTACACTCTCAGCTCTTTCTAAAAAAGTGTTTATTTTGAGGCAGTCTCTGAGTTGCTGAGCCTGGCATTAAACTTAAGATCCTTCTGCCTCAGCTTAAGTGGCTCAGATTACAGGCATGCATCACTGCACCTGGCTAGGAAGAGTGTCTATATTCTGAAGTTATAAAAAGGGATTTACCTCGGTTTCATTATGGAATTTTTATGATTTTGTGATTATATCTAAGTACTTGAGCAAGCAGGAACTTATGTTAGTGTATGAAGTATAGTATGAATTCATTTTTTTCCCATGTGGATATTTTAGTTGTTCAAACATCATTCATTGTATCATCTTTTCCCCTTGATTTTGAGGCACCTCCTTCGTCTTTTGTCATTTTTTTCCGTATGGAATTGTGTCTGTGGGACATCAGTTTGTCCCATTGATCTATTTGTGTGCTACTGTGATATGGCTTTGAGGCTGTATAATACCTGGCAATACTAGTTCTTTGCTAATGTTATTCTTTTTCGGCATTTTCCTGATTTATCTTACTTTCTTAAATTTTTTACATGAACTTTAAAGTCAATTTATCTATTTCCAGAAAGTAATCCKGTAGGCATTTGGTAAGGGAGGTGTTTGAGGGATCATTTTAAATTTACTTAATCTCTTCATAACAAGTAAGCTAAATTGGAGTTTTGATCTCTTTTCTTACAGATGATATTAACCGTGTTCTTGAGCAACAATGAACAGATTTTAACAGAAGTTCCTGTAACACCAGAAACAACCTGTCGAGATGTTGTAGAATTTTGCAAGGAGCCTGGAGAAGGCAGTTGTCATTTAGCTGAAGTGTGGAGGGGAAATGGTATGTATTATGTTTTATAAGAATGAGAATGTTGTCACTTGGTTGTATGAGGTGATAAGGAGTTGAGTAATTAATATAGAAACAGTTATATTACATGAGGGTAGGGTTTTATAAAATGGTATTTGTTAAAAAGCAAGGTGTGAATTGACTCTTACCATAACCATTTAAGATAAGCAGGGAGGGTAGATCTAGCTTTTTGTAAGATGTCTTTTCCTTTCCCCAAAAACTAGACCCTGGTCCTCTTGAGCCTTCATTGTCATAACACATGTCAGGTTGGTCAGTGACTCTTCTTTTCTCTTCTGGTAATGTCATGGAGGCACTAGCTTTGTGTTTCCTCACTTGAGGAACTTTGTAAATGGTGTGTCTTCCATAAGTATTACTAAATTGAGAAAGGTAAAATCCTGATTCATGTTGAAAGAAATTGTCAACAAGCAGGGCAGAGAAGATCCATGTAGGTAATATGATTAGCAAGCACCAGAAATTCTGCAAAATAGTTTGCACTGTAATGAAGGGGTTGAATTTGGATAGGATAGTCTATCCCAGATAGCAGAAGTAATGCAAATGAAGAGGGGAACAGAATATGGTGTGCTGCCAAGACAGCTAAGACCAGGAAGGTTGGCAGCAGGCAGAGGCTGGAGCAGCTCGTTATACCAGACCTTCAGCACTGCAGAGTGGTGTGGCTTTTTCTCAGCAGAAGGAATTCGTATGGATTTTAATTAAGGAATGACATTCTAAAAATAATGTTGGTCAATAAACAATGAGCCTGAAAAAAGTACCATGCACATGGGTCTGTGTTAGACAGCGAGAGAGTGATCAACTGGAACATGCTGAGTTTAAGGTGATGAGAGATGTATAAAATGAAAGTGTCTAATGGACACTTAGAGATAATCAAGTCTTAGCATTTTTTTCAACAGCCTTTTTGAGATGTAATTCACCTACCATACAGTTCACCCATTTAAAGCATACAGTTCAGAGGTTTTATTATATTTACAGAGTGTGCAACCATCATCACAGTTATTTCTAGATTATTATCCTTGCCACCAAAAGAAAAAAAGAAACTCCTTACCCATTAGCAGTGACTGACTCCCTTTCCTTTTGACTCCCTCATCTGTCGGTAAACACTAATGTACTTTCTGTAGATTTGCCTATTCTAGACCTTTCATACAAAAAGAATCATATAATACAATCCTTTTTAGATTGGCTATTTACTCAGCTTAGTGTTTTTGAGGTTCATTCATGTTGAAGCACATATCAGTAATTCATTTCTTCTTATGGCTGAATGTTCCACTGTATAGATATATTACATTTTCCTTATCTATCGGATGGGGAGTTACTTATTCGGTTGATAGACGTTGGAGTTATTTCCTTTTCAGGGGGGTGTTCTATGAACGATGCTCTGTGAACTTTTTTTTTTTTTTTTGGTACTGGGAATTGAATATTCAGGGGCATTCAACCACTTACCCACATCCTCAGCCCTATTTTGTATTTTATTTAGAGATAGGGTCTCACTGAGTTGCTTGGTTTAGAACTCACGATCCTAATGTCTCAGCCTCTGGGATTATAGCCATGCGCCACCATGCCTGGCTGCTCTGTGACAAAACGCAAGTTTTTGTGTGGATATTTTATCACATCTCTTAAGTACATACCTAGGCCGAAGTCACCTTGCTAGGGCTTACGGTAATTCAGTGTTTAACCTTTTCAGCAACTGACAAACTGTTTTCCGAAGCAACTGTACTATTTTATTCCAGCATCAGTGTATGAGGATTCTAATTTTTCCACATTTTTGTCAACACTTCATATTGTCTATTAGATTTCAGCCATCTGACTGGATAAGAAGTGGTATCATAGGTTGAGATTGTGGCTCAGCAGTAGAGTGCTCACCTCGCACGGGTGGGACCTGGGTTCGATCCTCAGCACCACATTAAAATAAAGGCATTGTGTTGTGTCCGTCTACACCTAAAAAATAAATAAATATTTTTTAAAAAAGAAAATAAAAAAAAAAAGAAGTGGTATCCTTGTGGTTTTGGTTTGCATTTCCTTAATGATGAATGATGTTGAACATCTTTCATGTTGTATTGGTCATTCCACATCTTCTCTGGATAAATGTCCATTCATACCTTTTGCATGCATGTGTGCGTGTGTGTGTGTGTGTGTGTGTGTAGATAGACAAAATGCCTTTATTATTTTTATGTAGTGCTGAGTATCGAACCCAGTGCCTCATACATGTGAGGCAAGTGCTCTACAACTGAGTCACAGCCCCAGCCCAACCTTTTAATTTTTTATTATTTTGAGAAAGGGTCTCACTAAGCTGGCCCCTTATTTGCTGTTTTCTGGCCTCAGTCTTCCAAGTAGCTGCGCATCATACCTGGAAACTTTTGTCTCTTTTTAAGTTGGGGTATTTATCCTTTTTTTCTTTTCTTTTTTCTTACTTATTTACATACTTACTTACTTTTTGTGGTATTGGGTATTGAACCCAGGGATGCTCTATCACTGTGTTATATCCCCAATCCTTTTTAGTTTTAATTTTGAGATAGATAGATTCTTGCTAAGTTGCCAAGGCTGGCCTGGAACTTGGATCCTCCTGACCTAGCCTCCCAAGTAGCTAGGATTACAGGTAGGGTATTTTTTTGTTGTTGTTATTAAATTGTATGAGCTCTTTATATATTCTAGATACCAGTCCCTTATAAGGAATATGACATGGAACTATTTTCTCCCAAAGTCTTGTGCTTTTAATGTTATCCTTAGAAATCAGAGTAAAATCTTCAAGGATAGATTGAGTGAAAGTTGACTTCAGTAAACATTGGATTCTTACTTAACTATAAGGATAAATGTCCATTATATAAGGAAGAGGACAGGTCCTCAATTGTCAACCTGATGATAGCCACAGGAAGGAAGATAGTAAGTAGAACTAGTGTTTTCTAGGAGACCAGTGTTAGAACCTGATTATTCCATCCTCTGGACTCTTAGCACTCTGTCACTTCAGATTCTTTTTATCTGTCTCCCTCTTCTCTCTTACTTAGCTTGAAAAGAAGTAAAATTTTGCAAAGGTATCATAGCCTCCAGTGGTCCATGGCTACCCAGGAATGCTCATCTCCCTGATGCAAACCCTTTGATTGGTGCCATTCTTATCTCCAAGCCTATCTCAAACCCTTGGTTTTACTGCAGCAGGGATAAGGACTGCTATCTGAAGTACCAAGGGTCACTGCACATCTATTGGCTATGCTCTTTACATTGTGTATAACATTTCCTAGGAGCTTGACTAACTTCTGTTCATTCATCTCTTCTTTGACTTTCAGAGGATGTTAGTTATCTTTCCCCTGTGCTCCAATACTGTCATGGTATTTATTAAACAATTATTTATAAATTAAACCTGATCTTTTGTTGAACTAAAATTCTTGAAGGCAGGAACTTCTCTGTTCACCGTYATATCCCCAGTGCCCAGCCTAGTGCTCATAATAGGCATTAGGAAATACTTGAGTCATTGAGTGAAATGAGGAAAAAAAAGATTTTCTAATGAGTACAATTCAAAGGGAGGGGAAAGCTCTATCAGCCTTTCTCAATTTTAACTTGGAGGAACCCTAAAAGTAATTTTCAGGCTTCATATGATCAATATGTCATAGTAGTCCAGTATTTTTTTTTTTAAGAGCTTTGTCTTGGCTCATGATTCTGGAGGTCCAAGATCGAGGGACTGTAACTTGATGGAGAGACCTGAGACAGTGCAGGGCATCACGTAGTGAGAAACAGTGCACCTGTGTACTTGTCTGTTTTTTGGTGCTGGGGGTTGCATGCTAGGCAAGTCCTCTACCACTGAGCTATATCCCCAGCCCATTGGTGGTGTTTTTGTTTTTGTTTTTTTAATATTTTTTTTTTTAGTTGTAGATGGACAAATACCTTTATTTTGTTTATTTATTCTTATGTGGTGCTGAGGATTGAACTCGGGGCCCCCTACATGCTAGGCAAGTGCTCTACCACAGAGCCACAACCCCAGTCCCCATCCGTGGTTTTCTTGAGTATTGGGAATTGAATCCAGGGGTACTTTACTACTGAGCCATATTCCCAGTCCTTTTTATTTGTTTTATTTTGAGACAGGAGCACACTAAATTGCCAAGGCTGGCATTGAACTTGTGATCCTCTTGTCTAGTCTCCTAAACCACTGGGATTATAGTCATGCACCCCATGTCTAGCCCATCACTGCTTTTGAGTAGAGAACATTTCTCTGTAAATCTTGTGTTTGTTTACTAAGGCTGCCATATCAAAGTACCATAGGCTGCATAGCTTACACAACAAATTTTTTTTTTTTTACAATTTCAGAGGCTAGGAGTCTGAAATCAAGGTTTTAGCAGGCTTAGTTTCTTCTGAGGCTTTTCTCCTTGACTTGTAGGTGTGTCTCCTCCTCCCTGTGTCCTCAAGTGGTTTCTTTTCATCTCTAAAGGACACTAGTGATGTTGGGTTAGATTGGATTAGGGTTCACCCAGATGACCTTATTTAACTTATTACCTCTTATAAAGACCTTATCAGTAAATGCAGTCACATTCTGAGGTACTGGAGGGTAGGACCTCAACATCTGGATTTAGGAGGGATACAGCTTAGCCTGTAACAGTGTTAATTTGGCCAGTTTATCATCCTACTCTTTCTGTGGTTCCCTGCCCTACATAGGTGTCAACCCCAATGCAGATCTGTGATGTGATAGAACCTTTTGTCTTCTCATTTGTTACATTTCCTCCTTGATTTTTTTTCACCTTATACAAGAATGCCTAAAAATTTTATCATAGATTCCCACTTTACAAGATGTTAATGAAGAATATTTTATATATTATGGTATGTATAAGGTAGATTTTTTCACTTTAAAATGAAAATAATGTTAATTAATTAGACAACCTTTTTTAATATTTATTTTTTAGGTGTAGATGGACACAACACAATGCCTTTATTTTTATGTGGTGCTGAGAATCGAACCTGGGTTTCGCCCATGCTAGGCGAGTGCTCTACCGCTGAGCCAC